GATCTTATGACACATGACGAGGGAAACGTAGAACACACTTTATTTAGTACTTGGTAGTTTTAATAACATGGCAAGAACAACCACATTATTGTGGACGCATGGCAAGACGCGAGTTATGTTTAATCGTCATAGTGCTTGCGATGGTGGCGATGGCGATGCTTGTGGCTATCCTCATCGTTTGAGTCATCATCACCCTGCCATTTTTATTTTAAAGTCTAGTCACAATCTAGGAGCTAAGAAGCAATTCACATTATATAAGATTCAATGCTGCAGGAATATATATTAATTAAGTAGTTCTAAATTGAAATGGAACTAATGCACTCTTGAATCTGCACTGAAGACAGTTCTTGGCACAGAGATGGTGCAAGCACGTTAGTTTGTACATTTTGCTTTTCCACAGCTTAAGTGGACTGATCAAAGCAATGACACTGGAATTTGGAAGGATCAGGCTTCAAATGAAACTGAAGCAATAGGAAAACATAGTGATCATTCAGGAGATTTCGCTGGTCCTTCAGCATTATATAGATCTGTAAATTATTCAAACTAGTCAGATCCAGATCCAGAGTGCTCCCCAAATTGCTCAAACCTTGATGAACATAAATCTTCAGAGATTGAAGTTGTTGAAGCCTTACTGTCTGATAAACATTTTTGGAAAAACATTGCTGATATTGTGAATCATAATGTTGTTCAGAGAATTGGTTTTCCTGCTTTTGATAAAATAAGGTGGGATGAATTTGACTTGTTAAATAAGATTGGGTTGCAGTCTCAACAAGTTGCAGACGCCAGTTATATTGAATCTGGACTTGCTACTCCTGAAAAGCAGGAAAGGTTGGTACCATAAATATCATTTCTTACGCTTCAGTTTATTCCCATTTTTCAGAATGTGAGGTCAAACTGCTAGAACGTTACAATCACGTGAAGAGTTGCTGTAATAATGGTTGCATCATGTGAGAAGAGAAAACTAGCAATATTTTTAAAGCTTATAATGTCGTCGTACCTCAAAACAGGGGGGAATGGGGTTGCAAATGGGTGTGTTGGGACTGAGGCTGATATATAACAGGTGCCGAAATGGACAGATTTGGAAATCGGTGTTGCACATTTTTCATAAAGGCCGGCATTTGGGTCTACCATTGCTCCCCCTTAGTCGGGTGGACGTGATTCCGATTCCTAAAATGGAGGAAACAGAACTAGAACCTCTTGGGACCGACCGATATGATTTTGGTCCGGTTCCACCGGTGGTTCCCATTTTGGTTCTTGTTTCGATCCGTTTATTATTTTTAAAAAATAAAACAAAAACTACCATTAGATACCAGATTAAACAAAAAAAAAAGAAAAAAAAAGAAAAGTAATGTGCATCTCTAGATCATTTTATGTCCCAACCAAGTTTTAATCACATCCTAGTTCACAGTGGAAAGAACAGTAAAGGCAAAAGTCTACTCACAATAAAATTATCTAGAGATGCACATTACTATTTGCCCTGGGGACGGGGATTATCCTTTTTTTAGTTGTAATATACACCTTCTGTCCATAAATAAAGTTTCGGTAGCGCGTTATGATGTTTGACTGAAGTTATTTTCAAATCATTTTATATTGAAAATAGTATGAAATTAAAAAATAATGATTACATATTTAAAAACTACATGAAAAGATCTACAAAAGTAGAGGTGACATGACTATATCATTTTCTTTTCCTTCAGTTTTTCATTTCTTTTAGGACGAAAGTTCTCCGTGGAATTATCCGTAAAAGCTTTAAAAAAACTATTTGTTTTCCCTAATCTCAGTACGAGCACTATTATTCAAAAGTTGTATTGTATCTACGATATGGGTTTACATAAATACTATGTTCCTGTTTGGAAATTACGTTTTCGATTAGTGTTAGTGTTTTGGATAAAATTTTAACGGTGTAGATTAACTTTGAAAACGCTAAATGCTGTCCATAGATAGTCCTTTCAAAATGCAAACACTAAACTCCCGTGCTATTAACTAGTTTCTTTCAAAGGCCTTACACTTGTTAGAAATCAGTTGAATACATAGAGGCCGATCCTCCAATGGATTTTTTTTAAAAAAACAAGCAGTGTTATTATCTAACTTTTAATATAAAAAATAGTATTAGTGCCCC